CTGTGAGCTGTCCTGTGAATCTGTCTTAATTTCAATAGAAACCATTGACTTCATGGTTTCACTTCTCTCTGAGAGTATTTTCCTCATCAGATCGTCCTGCTGTTTAAGTTTAGCTTTTAGTTTATTATTTATATCGAACATCTCATCAAGCTGCTTCATTAAGTATTTCTGTACTTTGATATATTCCAGTTCAGCTTCCTTAAATTTGCCTTCACATGTACATTTTGGTTCACTTGTCTTTTCAGAAGAGTGGGGCAAATTCTGAATTTCAGATAAACACTCTCCTTGAACATTTTCTGGTGTTTGATTAACAGGACCTTCAGTTAAATTCTCTGTTTGGATGTAGGGCTTACCCGGAGATGGATGTGTCTCCCGTTTTTGATCAACTTTCTCCTGTGGGGTGAAGATGGATTCCTTTTTGGTGACTAGCTGTGTTGTAACAATCACAGGTTCCTCTTTGCAAATCTCATTTTTTAAGCAATCTTCCTGATCACCTTCTTCTTCAAGCAGAAAAGTGTCCTGCTTGTTAACATTTTCAGTGCTGGGCTTAGAGAACTGTTCTTTCTCTGGTGTCACTTGCAGTACGGAGATCGATTCCTGTTTGGTAACCAGTGAAATGTCCTCCATTCCAGTACTTTCAGCTGGAGATCTTAGATCAGCGGGAGCATGTGTCTCTAACCCGATTTGAATTGTTATCTTTTTCTTCTTGATGATGGTCGTCTTTGGTGGCTGTTCCTCAGACTTAGAGGGCTGTTCCTTCTCTGCTACATCGACTGTCTCCTGCTCTCCAGCGATGGACTGCATCATAACCTTTGCTTGTTTCAGGTTCTAAGATAAAATCGCTTCTCTAAAACTGAGTCAAGATTTCACGATAATCCTGATGTCCAAAAGAAATGTGCAAAAAAACAAAATTGAAAATCCTGCTGTGAACTGCTTAGTAAATTCTCAAGAGAAACTATTAACAACGGCTGCGAACAGGTTGTGATGAAAGTAGATCGACGTAATGAGTTTATATAATCGCTGGTGATGTCAGAATTCTCCCTTTGGAGTTACATTGTGATGTCACATAGTGATGTCACAGTTTCATTTGATATTCAGAGGGTGCTTGTCTGATGGGTTTTTTATGAACACGGCGGATGCGCGCGCAACCGAGAAGGACCTCGCTGCAGCAAACAGAAAGGGGCGGGGACGGACCACTGTCAGTCTCATACCTTATTTGGAAATGGGACCATTGCACTCCGGAAGTGTAGGGGGCGCTACTTCCTATATTATCCGCGGTCTCCCGTTTTTAATTTCTTTTGAAATCTGTGTTATATCTTCATCTTTGGGAAGAATTTTCACTCTCAGCATGTATTTGAATTTCTCTCTTTCATTTACTTAAGCGCAGCTCACAGTTTTTAACAAATTCAGTAGCTTTCTGTGTACTTCTAAATCTGCTCCTTCATTGCATCTTTTCGGGCCTGTTACTGGTGGCGCAGGGGTGGTAGCATAACTAATATAATTACGTCACTAAATGAGAATACCACAAAGTCTTTTTTATTAATTCTGGCAATACTGCGTCCCCTCTAGTGCAGCGCCCCTATGCGTTGCAAACAGTGCATACCCAGTTTTTGCGCCACTGATGGAACAAGTTGCAACAGATATGAGAAACTGACTGATCAAACATTTCTCATGAATAGAAACTGTCGTGAGAATATGCTGTCTGACTCCTGCACATGTTTCAGCTAAAATATTAGTCCTAAACATTTTTATTTATATTTCAATACTAAACTCACCTTAAAGACAAACTCACCTTAAAACTTCAAAATCATTTTAGTTTTACAGCTGAAATGATTGTTGCTTTTTGTAATAAATCCATTGTTACACAATCTACATTTAAAATTGTAAAACAAAACATTGAAAATAATCAGAAAGTCTAAGGATTTATTAAAAATATATAAATGACATATCTTGTATCTAAAAACTAATCAAACTTTAATTTTGAAAAGCATACCCAAAGATTTGACTTGATTCAGCTTTCCCAGGAGAAATCTATTTAATTTAATATCACTAGATGTCACTATTTACTACAAAATCAAGGTACAGCAGCACATTGAGCATATTAGAGCGCAAATTAATAAAAACATATACTCACATCTAAGAAGTTTTCAGTTACTTCTTTCTAATTAATTTAAATTCATGTGTGAATGTGAAGCGTTTTTCTTCCTTTCACCAAACATTCAAGCTCAACGCTCTAAAGTTGTAAAATTTAGCTTATGACCTGATTGGACGGCTTCGTTTAGTTTTTACATGTCTTTTATCAAGGTGAGAAAAATACTGTGTTTAACAAGTCGGGGGTTTGTTCATGATTTGAGACCTGATCCTCTGAGTAAATGTGTTTTCACACTGATGTGTCAACCTGCAGATGAATTCACACCAACGTGACGCTCCACTGAGTGCAGGGGCGAGTCCAACCTTTTTCCGTCATCATTACTTTTCTCACAGAAGAGCCACAAAACACAAAATAATGAAATATGGCAAGAATTTCACTGGACATATTGATGTCTTAAAAGAAACTTATTTTTAAGTAAAATTAGCTTGAATGAAAGAACACATTCATCTAATGAAGGTAATCTTAAATTCATCTGTAGAGTTTCAACACGAAAAAGGAAAGATTGTTAGTTCTTATAACTTAACCCAACTTTTTATGTTATTTTTTTTTTACTTTACTAGTTCTTTTTAATCCTAAAGTCAAAATACAAACATGATTCAAGAAGACATCCTGATCGCAGATCTTCCACCCTACACTGAGGTATTTGTTTTCTTATTATTTCACTTATGACAAGACATTTATCTAGGATTATGAGTGAAATAATCTGCCAATAAAACTAATACTTGTATGTTAATATATAGAAATTATTGCCATTAATCAAACTCATATATCTTGTTGAAAATTTGCTTGTAAGTTATACAAGTAACTTAAAAGTTTATTTCTTTAACTTTGCAGCAAGAAATAAATCTTGCTATAAAATAATCTACCAATAGACTAAGAGAATTTTCCCATAATATAAGTTGAAATGTTTTGTTCCACTGGCAAATTATTTCACCTATAACTACAACTTTTTCATCCACATTAAGCAATGATTGATTTAAGCTCCTATTTCTTGCTGAAAAGTTACCTATATGTTAGTTTTGTCTTATTTGAACTATCTGCACTAGAAACTTGACAATAATACATGGTAATAGTTTGTATTTTGCAGTGAACTGCAAACTTTTTCATATAAATACCATTTGAGATATTTAGAAAGATATTTCACTGCAAAAACACAAAATCTTACTAAGTATTTTTGATCTAGTTTCTAGTGCAAACATCTTAGTAAACTTAAATAAGACAAAACTAAGGTACAAGTAACTTTTCAGCAATAAATAGTAGCTTGTTTTTAGTCAATAATTGATTAATATTGATGACAAAGTTCTAGTTATAGGTGAAATAATTTGCCAGTGGAACAAAACATTCCAACTTAAGTGCAAACTGTCTTATTCCACTGGCAGATTACTTCAAAGCAAAATGTATTTCTTGCTAAAGTTACTTGTGAATTAGTTTAGTGTTGTTTCAAGTATATTAAGATGTTTGCGTGAGAAACTAGACCAAAACTACTTGGTTAATTTTTTTTTTTTTTTTTTTTTTTTCAGTGTACCCCCAATTAACCTTGGGCTTTGGTAATTTTTCTAACTTCCTCCTATCCCTGAAGTAACAAATGTGTCTCATCATCACATCAGAACCAGGACAAAAGGATGTTTGAGAGCTGGACAAAGCGAGAATCTGTTCGTCCACAATAGAGTTGTGTTGGGTGGAGCTTGGCGGAGTTAAATCTAACAGTCAGTATCATGGAGTGATCTGATATATCCTGGAGAATAATGCTCAGGGCAATTAAAAGTGTTACATGTTTATAGTACATACAGAAAAAAGGAGATTACGTATTGTGAAGATGCAGAGATAGCTGACCTGCATTACGTTTGAGAGGTTTCCAGTTCAGCCAGGTCTGCCTCCGCCCTGCATTTCTCTGTACATTTCTCAGGGGTTTTTACTTTCTTTTCACTCCATCCTTGCATTGTTCTCCCCTCCAGTCATCCGAGTTCCTCTTCAGCTTCTCACATCTCACCAGCAGCCATTGTATCCTCCCTCAGCACACCTGGGTCTGGTGCGTGCAAACCACACTGGGCTCTGAGGAAGAGCTTGTCATTGTTTGGAGATGTGAGACCAAATATTGCCCTGAAAACTAGTTTGTGTGCTGCCAAAACGAACAAGGATACTGTTGCTTTACTGAATTTATCTCACTATAAAAGCACAAAATCTTACCAAGTGTTTTTTGGTCAAAATACAAATACCTTTTCAACAGGACATAGGAAGTGTGTCCTTAATACTGATAAAAACGTACAAGTCCCAGATTATTTCACCTATAACAAGCCAAATTTTCATAGAATTCAACAGAATAGAAACAGCCTTTATTGTCCTGCAAAGGGGAAATTCAAATGTGACAGCAGGTAGAAATAAAAAACAAAATAAGCAATAGTATTATTATACTGTACAAAACTATAACATAAAATACTGTTTAGTTATTAGAAATAGGCAACGGATCCCTTTTTCAAAAATATAAGTAAAATAATCTGCTAATGGAACTGGCATGTTTTAATTATTAAACAATTTATTGACTTAATTAAAACTTTCATGTCTTGCTGAACAGTTGTAAGTCAGTTTTGTCTATTTCAAGTTTACTAAGATAGTTGCATTAGGAACTGGACCAAAAATACTTAGTAAGACTATTTTCCTGCAAAATATCAGTTTTAACCATCTTTAAGGTGTGTTTAAAGGTAATCATACACCTTTCCTTCCTTAAATTAAGCTTTAAAGGTCATGTTTGCTGAACTCATGGCTGCCTTCAGGTATTCTGCTCGGTGTCATGTTGCATCCCTCTTCTTGTTTGCAGAGGGGCTGGATTCCCCGGCGGCGCCTCCTCTCTAAATACGGTCACAGAACTCACCTGTGTTTAGCTGCTGCAGCAACAGAGTCACTTTCACCTCCGAGAAGCAGCAAGTCGGCCGAGCTGAGCAAAGAAAGACCCACTGACGCTCTGAAGCACATGTAAGTACTGCTTCTCTTTCAAAGAGCAACACAAAAACTGGAACTTTTCTGAAGAAAGAATCACTCTCTAATAGCTTTTTCTCTTTCTATTTTTTAAAGAGGAGACATGTAAAGCAATAGTTTGTTAAAATAATGGCCTACGTCATTTTTTTTGCCAAAAGAGATTTTTTTTTGCTGCCTAACTCAACTTTTTGAAGCTTATTTTAGTTATTTATCTTTGCTAAATCACTTTAGGCAAAACATGACTTGGGCCATTATTTTAGGAAGGTGATCATGTGAAAAAGTTAAAGTTATGTTTCAAGCAATGGGCTGGGCTTTACTGGGGTTGCTAGGCGATGGGCTGGACTTCTCTGGGGTTGCTAGGTAACGGCGCAGTGCCATTGGAACGTGACTTAACAATCAGGTGGTATTTGAAACGACTCATTTTCCAGACACTAAAAACAAAAAAGTCTGGGTCGTTTGTTTTTTTAAGTGCTTGGGCCGTTTTTAGAAGCAGTAAAATCCAAAGGGAAGCATAAAAATGCGCAAAGTGTTAATTTTACATAATATGTTCCCTCAGGGGCCGACAATAACTTTTTCTGTTGCCCTTACATGAATATAACTTCCGAGATAACAGTTTTGTGCTTAAATATTATTTACTCCATCAAATCAAAGCCGTTTTTATCTGCATATTGCCAAATTACATTATTGTGAAATGATGTTGATCAAATACAAACTGGTATTTATTAATATTTTAAGTTTGTTAAAGGGTTTTATCAATACATTCTGCCACAACACCCCTGCCTTAAGGGAAAAGCTCACTCTAATCTAAACTTTCTACAGAAACCACAATGGCCTCCACCCTGTCAGTGCGCAGCCTCTCAGTGCATCAGCCCTCCTTCTCCAGCGTCACGGTGAGAGACAGCGGCCGCAGCCTGCGCTCCAAACCCCCCGTCTCCTCTCTGTCCACCGCCAGCACGCTGTCCCTGTTCCGCTCGGTGTCCATGGGAAACGGCCTCAACATGCTGGGCTCCAGCCTGTCCCTGAACGGCATTGGGGCCAGCGATAAGGAGACCATGCAGGGCCTGAATGACAGGCTGGCCAACTACCTGGACAAGGTACGGTCACTGGAGCGGTCCAACGCCGAGCTGGAGGTGAAGATCAAGCACCTCATGTTGGAGAGAACGCCAAAAGGCCACGACATTGAGGGCATGATGGCTCAGGCACATGCCATCGGGCAGGAGGTTAGTGACTCCGCAGAAATACTGTCCCTGGTCACTGCAAAAACACAAAATATTACCAAGTATTTTTGGTCTAGTTTCTAGTGCGAATATCTTGCAAAACTAATTTACAAGTAGCCTTCCTGCAAGACACAGGAGCTTGTTTAAAGTTGGAAAATCTTTTTGACAAATTTTTTCACATATTTGTTAAAACTGTCACCATGTCATGACTTTATAATATGAGACAGATCCATCCATCCATCCATTTTCTGAACACCCTTGTCCCTCAGTGGGGTCGGGAGGGGTGCTGGTGCCTATCTCCAGCTAACGTTCCGGGCGAGAGGCGGGGTACATCCTGGGCAGGTCGCCAGTCTGTCGCAGATATGAGACAGATAATCTGTGTAAATATTGACCTCTTCCTTGAGCTACTAAATGCTCCGCTCCCGATCAAAAACAACCAATCAGAGCTAAGAGGAGGGTCTTAATTCTGTCAATCAATCACATGTACTAGCTGCTCAACATGCTCAAGTGCACTAGGATATTTGGAAGCTAGACCACCGATACTTTGTAATATTTTGTGTTTTTGCATGCGACTTTCTCAATCACATGTTTTCCTCTATAGATGAGAAAAAGGACGCTGGAGAACGCCCGCATCATGCTGGAGATTGACAACGCCAAGCTGGCAGCTGATGATTTCAGGGTGAAGTGAGTGTCATGCAGAGGTTATTTTTTCGCTTCTGCTTTCCTGTGAGTGTTCACATGGGAGTGCCAGACAACAAAGCATGAGAATAAATGACTTTTCTGTTAGACTGTGAAATAAGAGCCCCCTTCTCACGGAGCTCAGGTACTGAACAACCAAGAAACACCAGTCACTATTCCAATCCAGTCCAGTTGGAGCTGGTAGTGATAGATTATGCAGGTCAGAGAGATCCCATCCATCTCTGAAGAGACCGGAGCTGGCAAAGAGGGTAGAGTCGAAAAGCACACACTGGGTTTTCATGATGTACTGACGGTATGCTGCTTGGTTTCATGCTTATTACGACATGGCTTCTGTTAGAATGAAAAATGTATCACGATATAAACATTTCATATCAGTTGATATCGCTAATTATTGATTAGCTTTTTGTTTTAAATATATAAAATACCACCAAACTGATGACATAACCCTTCCTGTTATATTCAGTTTTCACTACACGCTGTTGTTGTTTATTTTTAAGCGATTTTAAGACATGGTGGTGAAATGTTAAGCCGCTGCTGCGTCAGTTATTCAACAGGCCATTGCTAGGCAACCACAAGTTACTCAAAAGGCTGTTGCTAGGTAACCAAAGAGAGAGCCAGTTAGTTGATACCACCAACTTTGCTTAGATGTCTTTCCTCTGCGTACATCTCCCAGAATACTGTGCGGTTCTGGGTCAGAGTTTAGTTAACATTATATTGAATATTTTTTTTATATTTTATCTATCCATTCATATATATTGTTATTGATTTATTGTCCAGTCCTAGCTTCTGGTCATTTCAGCCCAATTCCTCTAAGTTACCATTACATTTTATTTTTTCAGCAACTATTTATTTCCTATCTTTCTTTTTTCTGCAGATGGGAAGCAGAGGCCTCCCTGTGCCAGTCGGTGGAGAGGGACTGTCAGACTCTAAGGAGAGCAAAGTCAGACCATGACCAGATCATCGCCACTCTGAGAGGAGACCTGGACAGCCTGAAGGAGGAGACGTACTACCTCAAGAAGAATCACGACGAGGTGAGAAAGAATCGGCGGTCTGAGCAGAGGAGAGTGATTTTCCCACAGAAAAACAGACAGCAAAGTTGTTCACAAGCAGTGATTTTAAACAATAATTATATTGTAATAAATATAATATAATAAATAATTATATTTGTATGTGTTTGTAAAATACATACAAATATAATATTTGTATGTATTTCGCAGGTCCGGTGTTTTCATTAAATAAAAAATCAAATGAAAATCACACGTAGATTAGCTTTTTCATGCGATAAGCTGTTAAAAAACATGGCGGCGACAGATGTAAACAGTATGACGCTAGCTCTCATCTATCAGCCATCAGACGTCAACAGCAAGCAGTGCTTAGGGAAAATTTTAATCTGTGATTTTTACAGGAGAGCTATGGATTCAACACGTTAAAATACACAACTTCTCATAAACTGTGTGATGCTGTGACAGCTCTGGTGGCTCCAGCTGTACATTGTGCGTAAAAAGATAAACAAACCTTCATCCTCCTACTACTTCCTGTCGTCGTCTTCTTCGTGGTTTTCGCTGGTAATAACATCCGGCTGTTGATCACGTGACTTTTGTGAGCAAAAAATGTGTTTCAATAGCAGCTTTTGGGAAATACAAGTCATATCAAAATGTTGCGCAAAAACTTTTGATCGAAAAACGTAGCCTTTTCGAAATTGGCGTGTTTCCGTTAAGTGAATTTATTTTTTTTTAAGTTAAGTTGCGCTATTTTATTTTGTGGGTAATGGAAACTCAGTTAAAGTTGAAATTTGACTGATATTTTTGGGATAAAAATTAAATGAGACACATTTGACCTCCTGAGCTGGACAAAATGTTTTTGCACCTCTGATCTCAAGCTGGTATGAAACTGGGACATAATAATCACATAGTATGAACACAGACACTCCCTTCATCATCAAACTGAGAGTGTTTAGATAGACAGGCGTGGTGACCAGGATGTCACCTCAGACTTAATTAAGTTTTGTTTTACAGCTTTCACAGTGCACTACAAAGATAAAAAAAAACAATTATTATCCACAAAGTATCCACATTGATGGGAAGAATCCTGCCTAACATTACTTTATCGTTTTCCTTTGGTATCTGAGCTTGTGATGTTAATTTTCGATCATTTTGATTCTCTTTTAAAGGAGTCCAACACAGGTTAGGTCTCCGCTTTTTTTCTCTTCTTCTTCTTTTTATTGGTTGACAAAGAAAAGCAGGTACAGAGATTGGGAACAGGTGTATGACCCATCAAGATCACTAATTTAAACAAGAATTTCTTTTTTTTTAACATGTCTGGCAGAAGTGTTGTCTGAGGCCCAACTGATTTACTTTTACACATGGAGCATTATGGCTTTTGCCATGGTGCCACATTGGATGCATGAATGAAACTGTATTAGAAATTTAGCTTTAGGTTTATGTCAAAAGTGAGGTGGAAATGAAAGAAAGGTGGGGAACCAGTTTAAAGAGGAAGAAGCATAAAGAGAGCACAACTGAACACCAGGAGTCTGTACACCTGCACAAAGAGAAAAAACATAACTGAGAAACCACAACAATAATACATTCATATGTACTAAAACCAGATTTCTGTGAATGTTATCCAGCTTATTCTTGAAGAAAATACCTACAAATGGAAAGTAATTGATGAAGTGTAAATAAAAACAGAGAAAATGTCCTTTAAAAAAAATACAAAAACCAGTTTGAATCATTTTGGGCTCAATTTAATACATGAACACTCCAAATCTACAAAAAGAAGACAGATAATTATCTTCCAAACTACATATATCACCCATTTGTTTGTCTTCACAGCCATTCTGGTTGCAAATTGCCTAGATAAACACTTTGTCATCATTGTTCAACTAACACAACTCTAATACCTTAAAGTATTTGAGTTTTTCAGATTTTTCTTCTTCCTTTTCTCATAATTTGATGTTCATACTCTAAAGATGTAGAGGAAATCTGATAAACATAACCGATTCTTCAGCTGAGAGAGTCTACAGCTTCAAGTGTCGGTTATTATCTGTCTTTGTGTGAAATCAAGGCTCCATTGTTTAAATCTTTGCCATGTATTCATAAATAGATTCAAAGTCTATATGTGCAGTTGGAAAACAGCGCTAAAGAACTATGCTGGATAGTTTGTCAGAGGTAGCAGACAATTCTTCAGTGAATTTCGAATTTCCCACTGGGAAACTGGGACTTATTAGGTTGTGTTACTACATCAACAGTAGTAAGATGTAGTGGAAACATTGCCAGATATGTAAAAGTATGTCTTAAATCAATGCTACATGTAGCACCTGCAACTCAAAACTGAACAAATTAAAAGTTCTGTTTGTTTTTGGATAGTTTGTCAGAGGTAGCAGACAATGTTTCTCCACCATTAGCACATTAAGCAGCACGTTCACGAGGTTGATTGACAGGGCTAAGACTTTCCTCCTGGCTCTGATTGGTTGTTTTTGGTGCATTACTTCAGGCGGCAATAGTAGCTCGGGGACGAGATTATCTATCTCATAACAATAACACATCATGATGACAGTTTTAATAAATATGTAAAACCATATATTTTTTATAAAAATTACGTACTTCAGCTTTAATATGAGTCTGACGTCAAACCCAGCTCCGAGTTCCCATTTCCCAGGTAGCTGGAACGCAACATTAATACATACACATATTGCAGGAGATGAGCACCCTGAAGGCCCGCCTGGCCACGGAGCAGGTGAGCGTGGAGGTGGAGGCAGCTCAGGGGCCCGACCTTGGGGCCATCATGGCTGAGCTGAGGGTCCAGTACGAGGGCATCTCGCGCAAGAACAAGGAGGACGCTGAAGCCTGGTACCTCAAGAAGGTTGGTGAAAATCGATCTTGTTTCTTCTGTGACTGTTGCTGGAAGCAGAATCTGTAAGCAATGACCTGTTTTACCGATGCGTTTCCACAGTTGGAGGCCATTCAGTGTGAGGTGAAAGAAAGCAATGAGGCGCTCCGCTGTGCCCAGGGAGAGCTCAGCGAGAGGAGGCGCTTCCTGCAAGCTCTGGAGGTGGAGCTGGACAATCTACGCAAACAGGTAATCCAGAGTTTATGGGTGGTGTGACTATGTGTCATCTAAGACTGGACAATATCAATAGATTATACGTCTGATAGAATATTTACTATTCAGTAGAATATTAAAGATTGGTGGAATCAACTAACCCACTCATTCTTTGGTTACCTAGCAACAACACATTCTATTTGATTACCTAGCAACAACCTGTTGAGTACATTTAAGGTTTTGCTACAAAGCCACAAAAAGTAGTGGAGTGAATACTGTGGATAAAGGAGGAAATGTCATGTCACCAGTTTGGCAGTATTTCAGATATTTAAAAGAAAAAATTAATAAAAATAATTATTGATAGACTGATATGAAACAGTTATCATGAGAAGCTCTAATGTTTCTTTGTTCGTTGCAGGAACAATGATTTGACTTCACAACAGACTCAGGTTCACTGTATTTATTCTCATAAGACAAAAGTAATCAAGTTGGTGGAATTTAGCACAAATTTACATCAAAAACACAAAGTTAATAGATCGATTTTTCAGCCAGTTTCTGCACCAAAGAGTTAAGAATGTTTAAACATGTTTTCACTGAGGCTCTTTAAAGGTAAATATATACAGTTTTATCTAAAAGAATAGAACAGAAATATACATTATTGGAGAGTATTTTGTGCAACAGTGTCAAAGTTACATTCAATTTAAGCAAATAGTCACACAAATATAGAATATATAAAACAAACAAAATAAAGAATAAAAATACTGTACAGTAAGGGAAACATAAATACTGTGTAGTTATACAAAAAATACTCTAGTCCAGAAGAATGTGGATCTGTGTTGGTTAAAATGTGCATGTCTCTTTGACACACCGTTTATAATTAGTGAACAAAGTTACATTTTTTATCACCGTCACTCTGCACAAAATAGATCAGAGTGTATTTGCTAACTTATTAGCAAATACACTCTGCAATACTTCTTATTGCAAAAACGAAGTACTCATGACAATAATAGTGTTTTTTAAAATAAAGTATTTTAAAAAGATTGTCTCTCATTAGCCCACCTGCTTCTCCTCATCCGCACCTCGTCTTTGGAGGTGCAGACGTGTCGGGACAGTCAGTGGAAAACAGCTGCTTGTTCTTTGTGTATAAAGAGCTGTTAATGTATAGATACACAAAGTGTGGAGTGGATTCACTAAACTACTGTGATCAATCAGCATGTCAGGACATTGACATCTGCTGGAGAGGCACATAAAGCTCTTAAATGTTTGCGCAGCATGAAGGCAGTAGGTTGACATATCATGCTGACAGACCCTCACGTGTCGGGCTAAGAAGGGTGACTGAATGGAAGGCTGAAAAGGGCGACCTCATTGTCGATAATTTGTTTATGATGATTCAAAAGTTTCAACCTTTTATCCTCACCTTTTTGACTCACTTTTCACTTTTCAAGTGTGCCATATTATTTCAACTGATGAAAAGTAACATGAGCTGATAAACACTAAATTTACAATAAATAACAAGTTTGATATCTTATATTTCAGAGGTAGCAGCCATCAGCATGATGTAATTCCTATATTATTTTAAAAGTTATTTTTCCATGTGTAATAACTTTTAGTTTGTATTATTTAATGGTATTTTTGGTGCTCCTGGGAGACCCCTGGTGGTGTGGGGGACCTATTACAGTCACTTACCTCTCATATGNCTTGGGCCGGCTCTGCATATAGCTTANCTCATATTTAACATAAATAGTAATCAATATATATTTTTAGTATTGGAAATAAAATCACAAATATATCAGTCAAAGAAAATTACACAACTGGTAAATGAAACATTAATTTGCATCAAAAACAAAAGAAAAACAAATCGAGTTGGTAGTTAACGTCAGTCCAGCAGCTTCTGCCCTTATATTAAATAAAATGCAACAAACTACCTAGCAATGGTTCCCAGTGAACAGTTGACAATAGTTAACAATCGTAAATTAAACACAGCTAAAATGAACACTAGTTATAACAGTTAAAAACTTAAGCAAAACATGGCAAAATTACACCTAAAACCCTGTATTAATATACTTATATCTTAAAAGTATTACTTGTATAGGATACATAGAGCTGATCCCAACACCTACCACGTTACAAACAGCAAAAGAGGAGAGGGGCTGACAGTTAGTGGTTGCTATGGTAACCAGCAACGGTCAAGAGCAGCATAACTTATACAGCTATGAAAATCAGGATAAAATTATAACTTTTTGACTAAACAAAATGAATTTGAAGAATAAATAAGCAAACTCTGACAAACTTAACATCTATAAAAATGCTAAGACGAAACCTGTTACTGGTTGCTATGGTAACCACCGACCGTCAAGCGTAACGCGATATAGCAACAAAAATCAGGAGAAAATAACTTTGGCGGAAAAAAAATTAATTTGAAGAATAAATAAACCATTTTTGATCAACTTCACTTCCTTAATAATATTTTGTGTCACCAGGTCAGCGTGTTGGAGGGAAACCTGGGAGAGACCGGACACAAATACACGGTGGAGATGGACCGCCTGCAGGCTACCCTGACGCAGCTGGAGGACGAGCTGTCCCATCTGCGTTTGGACATGCAGCGCAACAAAACCGACTACGAGCAGCTTCTGCGCATCAAGCAAAACCTGGAGATGGAGATCGCCACCTACAGGCGGCTGCTGGAAGGAGAGGAAACGTAAATACGGGAGGGGAACTGGGAAAAAAATCTTATCAAAAATAATCGCTTAAATTAGGATTTTTCTGTCCAGACACTGACCAGAGCTCTTCATAACTTTGGCCAAAATTATAATGAAGAAATGTTTTTAAAACATTAAAAATTTATTAGTTTTTCTGCATAGAATTACAACAGAAATCATTGTTTGTGTCACTTCATATTTTATAAGAATAAAATAAAAACATTTTATTTATATAAAAGCTTGATGCTTCTCTTCTTTGAAAATATAAGAATCAAAATAAAACAGTAAAGAGTGGAAAACTTTGACATTGTTGGAGAAATGTCCTCAGAAAAACCAACTGATGCTAGGAACTACATTTAGGATTATTATACAGATTGTTTAAAATGGCCTCATCAAGACATTCCTACTAAAATGTTCTTTAAAACTCTTTACATTCAACTGCATGTCAGTTTGTTTAAAACAACAGACCTTTGATTACACCGATTAATCATTTAAATTAACCTTTAAAGCAACTTTAAGCTCAAATTTAGCCAAATTTAAAATGCTGTCTTATTCCTCTAGTAAATAAAGTTACTATAAATGATTAAATAGAATAAATAAATTCATAGAATATAATAGATTAGAATGGTTCTTTATTTGTGAAAATATTCTGCTTTTGCACAGTGGCTGTGAAAAAAAACTCCAAGATTAAACTAATGATTTTTTTATTTATCAAACACAGATCTGAAGATAAATGAAAAAGGAGCTCCTCATATATTAATATTAATATCCTAAATCTTAGAGACAAAAAAAGTTTATTTGTCCAGCACATTTCAGCAACAAGGCAGTTCAAAGTGCTTTACATCATAAAACACAAAAATAAAAAGTCATAAAAACATCATTGAGAAACCAGTGACAAACATGACAAAGTGGATTTTGTTGTATTTTTGAAGTTTGTGTTTGGTTCATTAATGTTATAACTTTTTATTACAGGGTGAAAGAAACGCCTCCACCTCCTAAAAGTAAGTTTAGACTATTATATTTCGCAATTTTTTTTATTTTTTTTTTTAAAATCTAATCTGTATCTTTTTCACATTATCTTCGGAAATTCCAGCAAGATAAGAAAAGCATTTGATCCTTTATGGATTTTTTTCTGTTAACTTGATCCACAAAAAGAAAAGAAATCTCTCCCTGTTGGAGTCGCATTGACCCAGATCATCCAGTCATTAGATTTCAGTCCAGCTTCACCTCAATAAAAACTCACCAGGCTGTATTTTCTCACTGTGTTGCCACCGGTCCAGCTGGTATCAGATATTTGTTCCTCTGTTGCAGAAGACCCCGAGGTCCGGACCAGGAAGATTGTAAAAGTCGTCACGCAGACAATGATCAACGGAAAAGTGGTCGACGAGTCCAGTGAGGTGGAGCAGATTGAGGACAGCAAGAAATGAGCCAAAAAAAAAAACAAACTCTATTGGGTTTTATACTAAATAAACTGACCTGCTTCTCTGAAAACTCTGGAAATGAGGATTAAAGTTTAGGTGGAAAGTTTTCGCTCAGAGTTTATTTCATTTAAATTCTTATCTTTACATTAATCTACTGGTTTCTAATGTTTTGTTCAACTTTTACAACATTAATTAATCAATTATTGTTTGTACAAAGTCCCTGAACAAATATTTTCTATGCAATTCAAACACTCTTAAGTTTTTAAACAGAATCGGTTTTGAACTTTACATTCTTTTCTTTTTTTTTTTTTTTTTTACAAATTCCTGTAAAAACATCAGAAAGATCTTACTGCCATTTATTTGTTTATAAATTAAATAAATAGATGTTATCCCACTTAGAGAGTGTAAATCTGAATGATTATTTTAGATCTTGTTGCAAAAGTATAATGGAGTATCATCGTCATACTAAAAAGAAAAACACCTAAAAAATTACAAGATAAAACAGTCATACGACAGTCATAATATTGCCAAAATAAATTTGTATGAGAATAAAGTAAAAAAAAATAAGAAGTCATAATATAACAAGAATAAACGAGTGCAAAAATAAAGTCATATTACAAGAAGTTGTAGTATTACCAAAATAAATCCATAATATTATGAGAATAAAGTTGTAATAATGTGAGATCTGCTGGTTTTCATAAAAAAATGGTTAAATATTAAACATACAGCCAGAATTTGGCAGGTTATGAAACCTCTATGATTGAGGCAGATCTACAGACATTTAAGAGTGAAGTAGAGAAAAATTCACCATAAATTAAAACTTGTGCGTTTATTTCTTGCTTTTAAAAATGATTGAAGTTGCATACTGTATAATTATTACATCCTGGGGAAAAATGGCTGAAATAAATCTGAAAAACTTCTGAATTAACATCATACAAATGATGAGTGGATGCAGATTTTTACTGTAATGTGACAGACATTTAATTATTCATTACTTAATAACAGTTACAAATGAATCAACCTGGAAGGATTTGAGCTCAAACTGAAACTCTGCCTGATACTCAGAGAACAAAAGAAGAACCAGAGAAACACGATTTGGCTCCAGCAGGGCACAAACAGCAGCAGTTTCACATTACGACCCGGTGGGAGAGTTTGTGTCAACACTTTCACAACGTCAAATATTTCCAAATATTGTTCCAATCCGTCTCAGAGAGAGACGGATTGGAACAAAATCCTCCACAGCTGAAAGTGGAATGTGCTTTAAAAGAGATTAAATGGAGAGATGGCGACCAAAGACGCCTTTAAAAATTATTCAGACGTTTTTGCTCTCCACCTGAAACCCGATCATGTCCCAGGAAACAGAACGCTCCGAGAGGAATCATGGAGTCTTTTGGGGATTTTTTACAATACAAAACTCCTTGTTTGGTAAAAGTTTCTCAGAGCTGTTGCTGTTTTGTTTCTAAATTCAAACTAATTTTCAATTTGGACCGCATCAAGATCAAGAATGTCTTTAAAGGATAGAATATATTAATAAAACATCCCAAAAACAAACTGTTAAAATATGAACAACAGTTAATGAGAAGAACTTCTTGAAATGAAATAATATTGAACATCGTTTTACCTTGATCTACTTTGGCAGAATACAGGTAAAACTGCTGTTTTGATTGATAAAATAATATTTAGCACATACAATTATATAAAATGTTTTATTTCTAGGGTGTAGAGCAGAGCTGGGCTTGTTTATCTGTAGAAAGTGTGACTAGACTTACTGTGCGGCACAAATGCCTCTTTTTTCTGCAGTTCTTTGTCATGTTTTCAGCAAAACAGTGTTTTTATGGAAACAAAAACTTGACAACAAGTAAAAAATGCATGAAAAACATGTTAAAGAATGTAGCAAAGAACAATCTGAGCTTATATACTGAGAGAGACGTGGAAATGACAATGCAACCAGATAATTGGAGAAACTAGGAACAGCTGCATCTGAGAGCAAACAATTGCAGTGGAGCTGAATGAAGGAGAAGGGAGGAATGCTCCGAGAACAAAATAAAACACTAAAATAAAACATAAGAATAAATGATTATACTCAATGCTAAGGAATGAGCAGATACAGAAACACCTTAATGGCAATAATTAGAAACTAAGAATATGGCAAGACGTATAGAAAATAAATAAACCTCAAAGAAATTATCAAAACACCTGATTGTGATTTTCTTAAACAGTTAACTTTACAGATTTCTTCCTTTTTGTTTTAAACCATCGTTTTTATTGCGTGATGTCACAATAAATATATATTTTTAAATAATATTTTACTTTGTCCCATTTTAAAGAGTTTATAAGAAAATTGACGTTCGTCCATATATACTCACTTCCAGCTGTCATTGGGTGATAGGCCCTTCTTGCTGCAACCAGTATGGTTAACCACTGCGCCACCGTGTGGCCTCCGCCATATTTGCATCCTATTGATTTCAAAGTAAAACTTCCGAGACAGTTTGGTCAACATAAATAAATAAGCCACAAATTATATATATAATGCTGTTAGCATTTTTGTAAACAATTGTAGTATTGATTGTATTTAACGGTATTATTGCTGAGATGTTCCAAAAGTACGCATTTTTAGCCGGAGTGTCAATAAACGTGAAGAGTTCATCAAATATTCCAGCTGAAGTTAATTATAAGGAATTTAAGCAAAGTTAGCAGTTCATCATCTGGTCCTTTAATCTTTGATGAATCATCATTAGTCTGTATGAAAGCGAAACTGTTGGTACAACTTTTTAGGCGGTAACTCTTAGAAACACCGCCCTCTTGTGGATGGAAAACGTAATACACAACCGAATTTGGAACAAATACAAGATCAACAGAAATACAGAAAAAAACAAAATCTACTTTATAAATATATGTAAAAATATGGTTACCCTTTCATAACGTATTACGTTTTATTGTGGATTTTATTTGTGGATAAAAACTTAAAAAACTGAATAAATAAACGAACAAATAAAGTTAAAACTGAGCCAAAATTGTATTTAAAATAAACACAAGTAAATCTAAGGTTTCTTCTACTTTTACTTAAATATAAATATTATGATGATGTACATAAATATACATGTTAAAGCCCAGAAATACTGCTGATTGACACAAAATTTAAATAGCAAACACATATCTATATTAATAAATGCAATTAAAAAATAATACTAATAATAATAGTAATAACATTTGATCCAGTAAAAGAGAAAAGACAACTAATGAGAGTCAGAGATGGATATAATTTAGGTCTTAAACTAACAAAATTGCTGCATAAATTTTTTGTCTTTGAAATAAGAAAATTAGAAATTTCAACCTTTGCTTTGGTTTTTGTCGACTCTTTTTTTCTACGCTAATAAGAGTAATTAGCATGAAAAATGCTTTATATTTTATAAGATGCAATGTTATCTTGAAGTTCTTGTTCGATTTGGTGTAATTAAAAAAATCTTGTAAAAACAACTATAAAAATATGCACCCATTTTTAATCTTTTCATTCACATTTAATCCTTGGTTGAAAAGTAAATCATATCTGTTATTTATCAAAACACTCATATTTTTGTGGAAAAGACAATATTGTTAAATCTTTACGTGCTGAAGTTAGGACACTTCTCTCATAATTCAGTTGCATGTTTTAGATAAACTTTGTGAATTTTCTTGTTTAATTCCAATTTGGTGTTTCAAAAAGTTACTTTATTTAACAAAAAAAAAGCCCAGCAGTAACATAGACGTATTTTTGCAAAACGTTTCAGTAATTCCCAGGAATCTTGGTTTTCAGGTTTACTGTATCTCCAGCCTGGCTTAGGAGAGTGATTTAGATTTTACCACAGCTTCTTATAAACCAAACAGAAGTGCTGTGGCGTTTCAAACCCAATGCTGACCTGTCAGAAACACGCATCCTGGGAAACTGCGGCGGACTCCACTGTTTATTTTCACATAGTGCACAGCTGGCTGTGAGCCTGGATGAAAGCTTTTGCTTCGTTTTTTGTCAACTTTTATTTTCAGTGCTACTGTAAGAGTAATTGTTTAGCCATGAAACAGATCATTTATGTTTATTTCTCCAAATTTTCTAAAGTACACCATACACTGGTGCATATTTCAGGAGCAAATACATTCATTTGGGTTTGTCGTAGCTTTGCTTGGAAACATGATACTGAATTTGGTTGCACAGAGCCTTAGGATAAAGTTAAATACTATGTCTGGGTAATATCTACTTAAAAACACACACAAAGCCAAAAAGTAGATTTAGCTTATGTAAACTTGTGCTAAAATGTTGATTTATACACTGTTATGCAAGTTTGGGTGACAAATTTCATCATATCATGATGCTCTTACTCTTAGTTTGGAAGCTTAATAAAATAAAATGAACATATTCCACAAAGCAGAAGCCAAACAACAACCCAAGTGTCTTAAAGTATTTTATTTACTGTGCTATTATTTGTGAAAGCTCTCTCCTTTTACATTTATATTTAAACAGTGTGTATTTTGCCGATTACATTTTCAGTGGTTGATCTACTATTGTTTAATCATGAGAGTTTATTATAAGAAAAAATAAGTAATAAAGATTAAAGGTAAATAGTAAAGAAGAACTGATTATGTTAGCAACTATTGGTATAATAGTGACAGCTGTAACAAAGTGTTTTCTTTTTTCTCTTCAGATAATTACGTGAGATATAAAAGTTTTTTTTTACTTGTATTTGTTCTGCCAGACATTACTTTACATGAAAAAATGGGAACAATGTTTTATTATAAGTTAAATAATCTGCCAGTGAGACTATTTTCATTGATATTGAGAAATTATTGACTTAAAACAAGCTCATATGTCTTGCTGAAAAGTTACTTGCAAGTTAATTTTGTCTTACTTCAACTGTGCAAAGATGTTTGCACTAGAAACTAGACCAAAAATACTTTGGAATATTTTGTGGCTTTGCAGTGATCCCAGTTCATTGTCACCAAACATGGTGTCATCTACTACAGCATGACAACTAAACAATATATGATTCTTTTAAGTTCAGCATTTGACTGAATCCTAAATGGCCTTCAGCTCGATGTTGTTATTTAGCGTTTTAACAACACAGTAAAGGATATGAACAAAAAACCGCCTGTGCTAAAAACCAAGGTGAAACGTTGGACAGTAATACTAAAAACCTATGCTAAAAGCTAGCCTGACTTCACAGCCCCATCTAGGGTTTCTTCCGGTAGAATTTCGATCGGGCCAATCATCGAACGATGACGTCGATTTTCTGCGCTGTTTTAGAATTGTAGTCAGTTTGTAGTTTTAACGATGGCATCGGATGAAGTGAACAAAACCGTCCAGTAATAACTGTTAGCCGATTTAATTAGCCGCCTCATTCGGTTGAACTCTGTTCTCTGTTCGCCGTTAAGCTTCTTAGCGTCGAATTGGCGCACTACATACGTCATGGACAAACGTTAGTGTTAGCTAACTAGCATTAGCGTTGGCGTTGTGTAAAATTTAAAACTTTAACAAAGCTGACGCTTACAACAAGAAATTGTTTCTCAATATCCAACCCTCTCTCTGTATGAAGAAAAGCGTAGAACAAGGGGCTGATTTTTACCAGGCTAGCAAAAAATATTATGATTTCTGTGATTAGCAAACCAAGTAAATGGAGATTTGAATGTCAGTCAACAACATGTAATGTGTTTTTATGTTTCAACTCTGGATTTTAAGTTCAGAAAAACAGCACAAAAGTTTTGCAGAATTATATGTTTTATGGTTCTGCCTCATAAGAAAAGTCACAGTCCATGATCTGCCTTATTGTTCCTCTTGTTCTTCTAAAGCTTTCAGTCTTCATTGACATTTTATCTCCCCGCTTCTATTATTTAATCGTTTAAATTGAGTCATTATCACCCTCATCATCCCTTCAGACACTTTGCAAGGCATCTTCAGTTCAGTTAAATAATATATTCAAGACAAAAAAGGCTGAAAAATTAGAATATACCCAGAGCATCTGAAATAAACTTGCATGAGGAGGAGGAGGCTGATGATGAAGATGGCTCATGCTGCAATCTTCCACAGAGGTTTTGTTGACTGTTGTGCAGGGAAGAGCTCATCAGTTTCAAGGAGAAAAATGTGAATACGTGGAGACGAGGGGCTCTGTAGCGTATCTGCTCATTAGACAGCCGACGCTGTAATCCTGCAATCAGGGGCCTATTCATTAGCATTGTAGGAGGGGGGCCATGTTTCATCTGCAACCACTTGAAAATGCCAGTCAGGGGTGGGGGGATGTTAGGATGACAAACCCGGGCGGCTTAAATGCGCAGGGATGCACATGCATGGAGGGAGACGTGCCTGAATGCTTCCTTGGGCTCTTGTATAATTTTTTACAGTGCAGAGCTGGCAGGTGGCCCAAAGTGTGTCAGCCTGATAATCATCTCAGCTCAGCAGGAAGACTGCTTTTGTTTCAGGGTTTCACAAGGAGCGGAGTCATTTTCCAGCTCAGGTTTCCTCCTGCGTTGAATTGATTGAAAGAGACTGATTTAAAGATTATTCAAAGGCAAAATTTAAGAAAGAATAGGAGCTCATTTCATTTCCTAATGGCATCCAGAGACTCGCACACACCTGGTCATGAGACGGTTTGGGGTTTTTAGTGAATATTCAGAGCTTGAAGGAATTTCTGCTGCATCTTCTTCATGATTCTCGATAAAAACAGGAGCTGTTCCTTGACAATGTCTAACAATTTTGCATTAAACACCCTTACCAGTTTTTAACTCATAATTTGAGATGCAAATCTTTCAGCATCTAGCAATTTGATTCAAAATTTGACTTTTGGTCACGATTAGATTCAGAAATGATTCAAATGATCTTGAGATTAAATTACATGATTAGAGGGAAAAAAATGCAAACAAAAAGAACATTTAAAACAATTCTTTAAGGTTCCACGCAAAGTTTGCAATTTAAATCACCATTCTTATAGGTGAGCTTAGCTGCCTAGCATTTTCTTAAATAAGAACGTATCAAAGTAGTATTTAAAATACATAAAGTGGGCAAGTTTACACGCAATACATTATAAACTTCTTTTAAAATCCATTTTTGAGTGTTTTGAATCAACTCAGAATTCCTAGATCTAGGAATTGTGATTCTTTACACATTTTTCTTTTTTCTGCACCTGTATAATACTATTTTATCCATTTTACTTTCCAGTTCAGAGTTTGATGGGGAGAAATAATCCAGTCTGCAGCCTGAATCTGTCTGGAAAATAACAAAGAAATCCTGAGAAATGTCGTTGCACCAAGAAAATGGTAATTCCTGAGCAGAATTAGCATTTTTGAAGGGTTGGGTTCAAATAATATCACCTTATTTCATCATAAAGTTACATGTGATATAAGTGTAACATAGCCTTTATGAATAAACGTAGCAGATTGTTTCTGCTGTGTGTGCCAGCCACATACAGCAGAAACAATCTTTGTTCTTTTACCAGAAAAATCCAGATTTTTGCAGTTACACATGGTTTATTTTTAATAAATTGTTCTTATTTCTTCAGTTTAGGTGCTCGTATTGAGTATAAAGGGGAAGAAGAAGGGTATAACTTCTAACCTCCCCTGTCGTCTCATTTGAACTTTGACATTTTACTCATTTTATCATTTTTGATGCTGTCTATATACACTGCAAAAACACAATTTTTGGTCTACTGTCTAGAGAAAACATCGTAGTACAGTTTAAATAAGTCAAAACTAACATGCAGGTAACTTTTCCGAATGTTATTCCTTAATAGTTCCTTACTATGGATGAAAATGTACTTGTTCAATTAGCAGATTATTTCACTTACAACATGGGAAACGTCTCATTACAAGTAAAATAATCTGCAGTTGAAGCCGAATTTTTTAAAAATCAATAATAAGGAATTATTTACTTAAAACAATCCCTATGTCTGACTTAAAGTTTACTTTTAAGTTATTTTAGTCTTATTTCAAGTGTCCTGAGATATTTGTACTTGGTAAAATTTACTTGGTAAGATTTTGTGTTTTTGCAGTGTAAATGTCTAGAATCATAAATTTTAACCTCTAAAGTATAAAAACACAAAATTGAAAGCCTTGGTGGGTTTTTGTTTTCCATGTCATAATCTACCAAATAAATGATATGTAAATTATTTACAAACAGATTAGATTTTCATTTTTCATTTTGTTTTAGATCAGGTTTTAGTTTCTGGTCTGTTTTTCAGGGTTTGAACAAATAAAAAGACATATTGATCCATATTGGAACATCGAAACCAAATAATATCATTAAAATGCCTCTAAGGTCTTCATCACTGTAACAGCAGCAGATAATACATCTTAAATGAGCTCATAAAGGCCTGAATGAAACACAAATCAATGGCAACACTTTAACTGAATTTGGATTTAATTGATTGCTCAATTAATTTATCACTTATTTCCTGTAAGTGACGGGTTTTAAATTGGTTTAATGACCAGGATGTTGAGGTCAAACTGACAGTCACTGCAGGTACAATCTGACTCTATTTTCTGTTTTTTTTTTTCTATGACCTTCAAAACACACACACACATACATAAAATCAGTCTCCGTTTTGCTCATTAAATAAACCTGGTGACAGATCTGATGCGATTTATTTACAAACACTGAATGTTTCCGTGTAGAGACACTTTAAAAGTGCCTTGAAAACAAGAGGTTTAGATCTGAATAAATAAGAGTTCCCGTTTTTCTGACAACAGTACAACAACCAACAACATTAAAGCTGCAAAATGTGCTCATCCTGAAAAAAGAAGCTGAGGTTTCTCCGTCGTACTGCTACAATGCTCCTCCACTCTGCCATTTGAAACCGCCCGATGTACGAACAGGAAGAAAGTGAAAAAAGCAAAAACAGGAAGTCTTCTGTGCTTCGTTTAGAACAAAGATAAAAAAAATATTCCCAATGTTTGCTTGAAGGTTTCACCACAGTTCAGCTCAACAGTCTGACAACCAGCTGAAACGGAGGTAACCGTGGCGACAGGCATCCGTGACATCATCAGGGTCAGCGGCTGATGGGAAGCTGCGGCAGAGCGATGGAGGGATGAGTCAAGTGTCCGGGGGAGGCGAGGACAGAGAAGGGATGAGCTGGAAACGAAGGAGAAACGTTAAAACGCCGTTTCAATTCAGCCTGGAGACGATGATGATGAGGGAGAAAGAGGGAGGAAGAGCGTCTCGACCCACTTCAGAGACCCGCAGAATCAGAGTCCATTTGAAACTATAATAATATGAAAATAATACCACTTCACAACAGAGGGTCTTTATAAATCAGATAAAACACTTTAACGTAGAATAGAAGACAGAAATAATAGAAAATATTAATTTGTTTGTGTTCGCCTGCCCACAAGCTAATTTTTACCAAACCTAATGTGTGAAATTGATAAATTAAAGATGATTTAACTGTTTTTAATCTGTTAATCTCTAGAATAGAGCATAATAAACCAGAACATCTGTATTTATTCTTATTCTCTCCTAAAACAATTTTCTACCAAACCTCATGTATGAAATCAGTAAATTACAGATGATTTAATTGTCTTTTATCTGTTAAGACTCTACAAAAATCTAACAAAGTTGCTTCCTAACTGCTGAGACAGACTTCTTGTTTTGAGAATAAATGTTTTGCATTTTTATTTTCAACAGTTACAACAATCAATCTGCATGTGTTACTCGCCAAAACAGTTTTCTCCTAATCTTTTGGAATTAAATTTACTTAATTTGTATTTAACTCTGTTCTCAAAACGTTGCCTCCACTTTTTTGGCATCTCTTGTAAAAAAACAAAAAAACAAAACAAACTTAAAACAAATACAATTTGGTTGTTAGAGGCTTCATTTGTAACAATATCTGCAGTTTAATAAAAAGCCAAATAAAAAAATCTTAACATTTCCCTCACTGCTTTAACAAAATTGAACATGTTGCTTAATAATGATAAAAATCCTCTTCACAGGAATCCTGGCGTGCCACTGACCGTCCAGGTATCCGTGCAGAGCGAGGAGGTGTGGTCGGTCCGGGCTGCTGAACGAGGAGTAGTGGAGATCCTCTGGAAGCGACGGCGGCATCCTGGACAGCGGCGCGCTCTGGGGGAAGCTGCTGCTCTGCGGCGGCGGCTGCTTTTTGTGTCGGGCGCGGCAGTTCTGAAACCAAACCTGGAGACGGAGACAGGCAGCGTCAACGTGGAGCAAACGTAACGACCTCCTCAAACCCAAAGACTTACTGGGCTAAACATGGAGGACTCATTATTCCACTCTGCTGTAAAGATTCTTAGATGGATTTGAAGAGTTGTTACCTAAACTTTAAGATGTGTTAAAGAACACACCAGAAAACAGCAAATTAATCTTTCTTGTTAACAAAGGGGTCCTATTATGCAAAAGCTACATTTTTACGTTTTCATGTTTCCATTTGGGTCTGAACTGATTCTAAAAACAGCTAAAGCATTTAAAAACCCACCCAGCTGTTTTTTTGGCAAAGAATTAATGTTTTTTTTAGTGTCTGGAAAATGAGCCGTTTCAAAAACCTTCTGAATCTTAAGTCACATTCCAGGGGAACTGTGCTGTTACCTAGCAACCCCAGCAAAGCCCAACCCATTACCTAGCAACCCAAGAGGAGCTCCAGCAGTTTAACCAGCTGGGTTTACAATGCACTGTGCAATGGCTGCTGGGAAAAAAAATGCGTTTTGTTGTCGACTTACCACTCAGAAACAACTTGCAGCATTCTTGTTGGTTGTGCAGGAAGCTCTACTTCTGCTTTTCAAAGATGTACGGTTGTAAAATTGTGCATCTATTTGCAGCCATTTTCAGGTGTGAGTGTGAATGTTGAGTTGGGGGCATGGCCAGCAGCAGCTTATTTGGACTTAAAGTGACAAGAGGCTCGAACAACTCAATCTCGATCAAAACAGACTAAAATCTAATTATCTAAGAAGGATTTTGAGTCTACTCAGTTAAATTTACTTGAGTAACCTTTTGGAAAAAAATTACTTTTAGGAGTATTTTTACTATGCGGTACTTTTCACTTTTACTTGAGTAATTTCAGAGAAGTAATGTCAACACCTGCCTGTATCACTCTCCTGCTCAGTCCCGTCATTTCTGCCAGTTTCTGCAGCGTCTGAGCGTCGGGGTTGTTGTCCTGAGCGAACTGCGTCTGCATGACCTGCAGAACGACGATCCAGATTAAATGACAAACTGCTGTGGATTAAACTCAGATTGAGACAGCTGGAGGGCGGAGACGGACCTGCAGCTGCTCGGCCGTGAAGGACGTCCGCGCCCTCTTGGCTGGTTTGGGTTGGCAGTCTTGATCTGACGGCAGCGCTCCTTCCAGAGTCAGACCTGTCCCTTTGAAGCAAACGGATTATAATCCAGTCATCAGATTATGTGGAGATTATGTGAATGCAGAAGGAAATGTTTAAACTGAGATAGTAACGATTCTCCAAACATGGAGCATAATTAAGGTAATTTGTAGCAAACATTCACAGTTTAAAGCAAATATTAAATATTTTCAAGAATTAGAGACAAAGTGAGAAAATTCAGGAAAATTAAATCTGTGTTTGATTTATATTTTATTATTCCTCTCTTAATCTGCAATGAAATGAGGCACAGATAACAGAAACGAATCCTTTTAGTGATTAATTCAACATTTATTTAAATTAGGTCAAAATGGGTTTGATTGTAAAGTGTCTTCAGAAGGAATTTGTTGTTAGTAACTAAAAATCTTATTGTATTAAAATAACAGCACAACATGGCTGCCTCAAAGAGCTCAGAGAAAAAAAACAACTTATGATGCTTTAGAAAAAAAACACCTGAGGTTGAGTTTAACACAAAGAGTAAATATGGATGTTTAAACATGCATCATTAAAAAATCACTTTGAAATATAATCACTATTTGTCACTCTTTTGTTGGATACACTCCAAAAACACAAAGTATTTTTATGTTACTATACTTGGAAATAAGACAAAACTAACTTACAAGTAACATTTCAGCAACTACAAAACCTTTTTGTAAAAAAAAAATAATTCTTAAATATTGATAAAAAAGTGCCATTGGATCAAAACATTTGAATTTATAATATTTGAAAAATGTATTGTTCCACTGTCTCATTATTTCACTTATAACTAGCAGTTTATAAGTGAAATATTAAGGAATTATTGATTCAAAACGAGTTCCTATAGCTGCTGAAAAGCTACTTATTTAAGATGTCTTACTTCAAGCGTACTAAGATATCATGAGCCGGAATAGATTGAAAGTACTTTGTGTTGTTATTGTTTGTTTTTGCAGTCTATCAAAAATAAGAGTGCCAAATAGTGATCATATCAACCTTTAAGCTAATTTTAATTAAGCATGTTAAATGTTAAACACCTAAAGGCTAATAAAAGTTGAATTTATCATTTGATAATATCACAAAAGCTGCACAAACTTAGCAAAATTATTTTTAAAGCATTCTCCCAACAAACCCCCCCCCCAGCAAAATAATGATGCTTGCACATCTCATATAAACATCTAGATTAATTGTTTTACTTCTCGCCTCCCTACAGGTGGTAGCTGTCGAATAGTTTGCGGTTGATGCTTGGTGGCTGGGTTACCGTTCTCTGCGGCCCTGCGGAGGTTTTCCAGCATGATGTCGTAGTGGCTGCGGCAGAGCACCCGGCCCTCCACCAGGCCGAACTCCTCCCCAGTTGACAGCTGCCTCTTGCAGGAGAAGCAGGCGAAGCAGGCCAGGTGGTAGACGCTGCCCCGCGCCCGCCTCACCCAGTCGCTGGCGAACACCTGCCGGCCGCACTGGGCGCACTTGGTGCCGAACCTACTGCAGGGGAAGAGGTCAAAAGGTCAGGATGTGCCGTGGTTGGTCAGTAATCCGATTTAATTCAACGGATACAGTTGGTTTAAATCTGTGCTGATCAGCAATGCTAGTAAAGTTAAAGTTTATTCAATTTACTTGATTTTAGTGTTTACATTACAGGTGTCAAACTTAAGGCTCGGGGGCCAAATCTGGCCCGCTGTAGGTTTTTATGTAGCCCTCTAGACTCCAGATTACATCAATACGTCCCTCCAGTTTTTCACAAATCCACAAAGTTCACACAAACTCAACAGATCGCCACATTTTTGATGAATTTGCTGCAAATTTTTGTCAAAATTGGTCAAAAACATTGGGCTTAATTGACTGCTGCCTCAGCTTTGCTTGATGTCAAGTTATAGTTACAGCAAGGAATAAAAAGTCACATTTAACTTCACACATTAGCGCAAATATCATAAAAACTCCTTACAAGTATTTCTAAATTAGCACCACAAAATCTGTGATTTTGATTACAAAGAAACACAAAAACAACCGTAAAATCCTTAATGGACAATTATTTATTGATAACATTTTTGATTGACAGAACTACTCAGGGTTATTTAATTTCCCTTTGGGATCAATAAAGTATTTTTGAATTTGAATTGTGCAATTAGCTATGTTACTGGAACACATGTTGCAAATTTAAATCCCACCAGTTATTATAAAAATGCTCTTCTTGTTTTCATAAACATGAAAATAATGTAAATGCTGCTCACCTTTATCAAACTCAACAGTAAAGGCAGGAAGCTGCCATAAACATTGAGCTAGGTGACAATAAATTATCCACTGATTGCAAAAATATTTTAAAAAACAACAGTATATTAATAAAGTACCAGAAAATAAAACTAAAATCTGAAAACCTGGAGATTTTCTACTTTACAATTTTTGACAAATAGCCCTGCTTCTTCTAACTGGAGCCTGGAAGGCAAAACGCAGGGCAAAACAAAAATATTTACTACAACGATGCAGAGAGAGAAGCGAAAGGCTTTAAAAATGTGGAGCAAACATTTATATAACAAAGAGAAAATAAACTTCCAGCTTCAGGTCTGTCTGTTGTGACATAATGGAAAATATAGAAAAGAAATACAGAATATCAGCAGATGCTTTTGTTCACATTGCAGAAATAAAGGAGTTAAAACTAAGACAAAAGCAATACACTGCAAAAACACAAAATCTTACCAACAATTTTTGTTTTAGTTTCTAAATATCTCATTACTCTTAAAATAGGACAAAACTAACTTATAAGCAGTTTTTCAGTAAAATATAGGAGCTTGTTTTAAGTAAATAACTCTTTAATATTAGTAAAAAAGTACTGTAGTTTCACTGGCAGATTATTTTGTTTATAACAAGACATTTTCTCATGTTACAAATAAAATAATCTGCAGTGGAAATAATACTTTTACAAATCAATATTAAGGAATTACTGACTTAAAATAAGGTCATAATCTAGCTGAAAAGTTACTTATGAATTAGTTTTGTCTTATTTTGAGTGTAATGACCAGAAATTAGACAAAAATACTTGGTAAGATTTTGTGTTTTTCCAGTGAAGGGAGAGTTGAGATCAGATCCTAAAACATCGGTTTGATGGATGTGATGCTTCATTCTGCAGGTCAAACTCTAATAAGTCAATTAATTTGTGTTTGAACCACCAAAATTAATAATCTGTGAAAACAATCTGAAAAATAAACCAAGTCATTAAATTAGAGCGAAATAAATGATTTACCTTCAGTTTTCAAGGAGACCGAAACTCCAGAGACAAACGTAAATATTAAATCCAACAGTTCATAATTTAGGGCCATTTTGTAGAATTAAAAAAGGTTGCATTGATTTGTTTTTTTATTTTTATTAATTTTAAAGCCAATAAACCTTTATAAAAACATATTTTATAAGGAATTTTGGAATGTTGTTTAAAAAAAATTAACTGGGTTCCAGAAATATCACAAACAAATTTTTAATGTGTTTTAAGATGAAACAACAATTTTAAGACAGATTTATTATTTATCTAAAATAGTGAGAGCAAAAATCTATTTAGCTTCAGTAAATTAAATATATTATTAATTTAACATTTTAAGAATAATTGGATCAAAAGGTATTTAAAAATAAATCCCAGGTAAGACAGGGAGGCTTATGTTTGAAGTAATCTTTTATTTTACCAATATCTTAGCAATATTATTTTGAATCTAATAGAAAAAAGAAGCTAAAAATTAGGGTGATGGCAAGGAGGCCTTCCAACCCCAAAGACAAGACAAAGACAATAATTTACAATAAGCAAATAAGCAAATTGGGATTACAATTAAGGATTGTAATCCCCCCAAAAAATGAGAATACAAAGGGATTTAAAAATGTTTCCCATTTTTAAATAAAATAAAAAAAGATTTTAAATAGTTGTTCTTTTACATTATTTCATTATCTTTTGTGTTATTTTCTGGTTGTAATTAACACATGATAAATAAAAATAATTTTAAATCTAAATCTGGGATGCGTGCAGCTATCCATTATTAATTTACAAAACACAAATGTAAATTTAGCTGAAAAAAATAACACGTTAGTGTTTAAGATACATGTCAAAAGCCGCTTTTTTGTTTGTTTGTTCGTTTGTTTTCGTTCCTACCTGAAATAATCCAGTTTGCAGAATATTTCTTTGTTTTTGACGTAGCAGCTGCTGTGTTGGCGCAGCGACGCTCTGCAGACTGAACACTCCAAGCAGCCCAGATGCCAGTTCAGGTTGTTCACCTGCCACAATTAAATGCAACACGCATGCGCTAATTAACGAACAGTTTGCAGAAACATACCTTCACGCAACACATTTCAGACTAACTGTTTTACGTGTCAAGTTCCTGCAAGGCGGAACAATGACGTTTCGATTGCTTTAAATGTAGAAAAAGAATGCATAATTTCAGAATTGAGGTAAAAAATACATGAATAAAGGTTAAAATACGTCACCTTGAGCAGGTAGCGGTCTTGGATCTCCAAGCCGCAGCTGGCGCACTGGTTCTTGGCCGCAGGAGGAGAGCAGAGGCAGGCCGCCTCCAGCGGGCTGGACTCCCCGGACTCCTTCTTCACCTCCGGCTTAGACTGATCCACAAAATAAAATAAAACACTTTAAAAAGAGCAGGACGCACCGAGAACAAAGTGAAAACTAAATATACATATATCAAAATCTGCGTGCGCAACAACCCAGATCTCGGTTTTTGTCTTTTCTTTTCCTTTTTTTTTTTTTTGCCAAGCAGCGTCCGATGTTTCTTCTCCTTTCATTTTAAATCTTACTACATGTTCTAAACACTATTAAACCACATTTTATAGAGATTACGCCAACTTCCCCGGAAAAAAAAACTGTTAAAGTTTGCGAAAACATCTAAATCTGTTTAGTTTTTTTTTCATTTGCATTATTTTAAATGTCTTTTCCTTATATAACAAAACCTAATACCTGTTTAGCGATGACTAAAATGTAAGAAAGACAACATAATTTAAAAATTAAGAACCGGAGCGTATTGTTCAAAAGCTTGTTCAACTTTAATTTATTAAATTTTTTGAGGCAAAATTCAGGTTAAGTACATCTTGGGTGCACTATGGTTCAAATAACAGTGAAATGGTTTAGCTGTAGATTAATTTTTAAGCTCACATAAACCGCTCTATATGATTGTCTGTTGCAGAAAACATTTACAACAAGAAAATGTTTTGGATAAAAGAATAACAAGCAGTTAAGGCATTGACTTATGAACAGCAGTCTGTTTCATTAGTTTACCGCCCATTAACACTGTCGGATTATAACTGTCCTATGTTTTAAAGTTAGAATGTATTATTATTTTTTTAATTAAAAGCAACATGATGCATGGATGATAAAGCAGAGGAAACGCGTAACGCCATTTATTGCTTCAGCAGTAAGTAAAGTAAGCCAACAAAACAGAAATTGCTTATAGCATGTGGATTCATTTCAGTTTTTTCTTGCAGTTTTTTTTTTAGATATGATGCAAGCAGACAAAAGCAGAAATTAATTTCTCCATTTCCATCATTACAATTTTAGTAGCACGCACTGAGGTAAAGGAATAACAATTATTATTTTAGCGTTTAGTTGTAATTTTCGCAAATGTTTGAGCATTTTCACTACATCTCTTATGTCGCTCCTGTGAATACTTAAAATAACTTACTGTGTTTGTGACTCACCATTTTCGGGTCTTGGTCGCTTCCTATTCGGAGTGGAGACCCAGTTTTCTCTGCGCATTACGCATCTCTGCTCCAACCAGCGCTACACCCGCTCCGAAACAACGTCTTACAGTTTCTCCTGCATTTAAACCCTGGCAACAAAAGAAATTTCGATGCAATTAGACATAAAAAAAAACACACTATATATGATCGATCATTCCTCTTGTGCGCAACGGAAGGTTGCGTGTTGCAATCACATGCGGTGAAAAGAAAGGATGGCACTATATGTGCAATTAGAGGCGGATTGAAACGCAGCGCTTGATAAGAGGCAACCCGAGTGTCAATTTCATCTGTCAATCAGGGGGAGGCAGCCGAGCCACCAAGCTGAGGAAGGGGGGAGGCGCGGCGCGTCCTAATTTCAATAGCTGTATAATCGAAAATCGAAAAATCTCCAAAGTGAAGAGGCTCAATTGGAGATCGCTCTATTCATAACAGACAATGCGCAGAAACTGCTGCTGATCTCGAGACATAAAGGAGCCTGATTGTCTCTTTTCTCGTGATGGACCCATTTAGACACTCCAGGCTCCCCTCAGTGATTACAGCTGCATTCATAAAGTGCCAAAAATCTGCGTTTGGGGGGCAATCTGGACCCCGTGTTGTCCTTCACTTCTCGAAATTAACAGGAATGCAAGATTATGTTAATTACCGGCTTGGATGTAAACACTGGAGGCAGCGAAAAGAGATGAGATGGTCTGCAGAAACTTCAGAGACAGAGGAGCTCCGAAATGCGGCGAAAACATCATTCAGGGGTGTGAAACAGTTTCTCCAGACGGAATAAAAAGTGTCCAGATAAATCCGTGGGTTGGTGAAGAGAAAGTCCAACGTTGATCCACGCAGAGGAAGTTTGCGGGACTGGAGCAACGCACTGTGACCTGAACTGATCTGATCTCCCGCCTGGACTCAGAGTTTACACCCAGTTAGCAGAGGCAGGATGTGATGCTGCGCCTCCTCTTTTACTGGGAAACACACATCCTAAACTGGTAACACAAACTGGGTAAATACTGAACAACATGTGTTGTTTCTAAACATACGAAGCTAATTAACTTTCCCTGGTGTAGGAGCTAACTGCAGGACTGATTGTTCAGCTCTCTTTAAAGAGGCAGTATTAAGTGTTTTCCAGGGAGATAGTGCCATTTTACAGCACAATAAAGTAACTGCGGTCCCTTCAGTTGTTATAAAGATGCTGGATATATCAGATATGATTTACAAGAAATTAGACTTTGTAATTTAATGCCTTGAAATTGGGTCTCTGTCTCTTTAAAAACTTATGTTCTTTCAGAAACTTTGCCTTCAGGAAGTCATCACAACATGGCTCCTCTATTAACCCTTTAAAAACATTTTCACCAGCGTTTTACTGAGAAGTAGCTCGTAATGCTACAGCTTGACCAGGTGTTTGCTAATTTGTGCTGGCTAGTCTGAAGGAGCTGAATGGTGGAGTCACGGAGGACGAGCGCCTCAAAGCAGAAGCTGGTAGTTTGGAAGCTGCAGCTCTGAGGAGGAGCTGCGTCTCGAAGGAGGGGCCAGGTCCACCAAGACGTTTTGTACAGCTGAATGGCTGCCATGGAGATTAAAGGATTTCTGAAACAGTCATGAAAGAATCAAATCAAATTTCCAGATGTATTTTTGATGAAGGAAGAACATTATAACATGATGTAAAGCTAAAAAAGTACATTTTACATAATACTGCCTCTTTAAATGTTTTCTCAGTACCCTTTTAATCGATCTGATTGCCTTGTTGATTATCCCAGTAATCGATTATTCCATCAATTATTTTGACAGTTAATCAGATAAAGTATTGGTACATTTTGCAGGCTTTTCATTTAACCAGTTAAACTTATTTCATACAGTATTAGGAATACATTAAAAGATGCAAATAAACAAACTCCTTTTTAAAATAAGTAAATAAACATTTTATTGCCTAAAAAGCAATAAAATAGCATTACTTTTAATAAAAGATTGATTATAAACATGCATCTGCAGTAAAAGTACTTCTAACATCAACACGTGAAAATCTCAGTACTTGTTTGTGTGTTTCTTTAATTTATTCAGATCATTATAGAATAGAGCTTTATAATATTTATTACGTTTTGAACTTGATTGGTCTAATTTTCATTCATTCATTCGTTTCTCCAACTACATTTCTATTATCATTTAGCAAATAGATAATAAAGATTTCTCAGTGACTTTGAGAAAATAGAATAATTTTTTAGATGAGGGTGAAATATGAAATTTAAAGAACCTTAACTATGCTCCAAAAGACTAAATGACTGCAACAAGCTCAAGAAACATGTATAGTGATATGAAACGTGTTTTATAAAAAATGGAAAATTTCATTGTTAGCTTGATGTGGTGCAACATGATGACAAGGAAAGGATAAAGCACAGGAAACTATGGATTTAGACCTAAACTAAAAAACATAACCTAATCCACATGTTAAACAATTTCATCGATTTTGTTGTGACACCAATTGATTAGGTGATGTTTTATTTTTTTTATTATTTCTGTTGCTATTTGTTCTCTTATCTTGTTATTTTGTAGATCAATAGGCCCCCTTTTTTGCTTTTTGTTAGTCTTGTAACGTTTATTGTATATATACAATAATTGGTGAATAAAACAAGAATGTATATATATATTTTAAAAATGTTTTATTTTATTTTCTCCTACACCATGAGCTGAATGGGTCTCTTTGGTATTTTACATTTTATTAACCCTTGAATCTGAACTAAAAACATTACTCTTTCATTTACTGCTTTACATTTTGCTACTCTTCAGTCATTGTTGAATTTTATTAATACTTTAATTTTATTACTGTAATCCTCTTTATCTCTTTTAACATCACAGGAATACCAGATTATAAGCTGTTGTAAAAACACCCATAAAGTTGTGGCCTTTTTGAAATATTCCCATTTTTTCAGACTTTTTAGAGATACATGTTTGATGATTGTACAGAAAAAATTTCCTCCAATGAGACGTTAATGGTTATTGACCAGCATTTTGTAACGTCATCGTCTCACTCTGCTTGAATTGTTCCTACGGTGCTCTTCAGCCTCTTTGTGCTTCGGCTGTAATTACCTGAGAGCAGAAGTGAACTGGTCCTGATGGAGGAGGACTCAGACAGGGGAACCTGGTTATTTCACCTCCATTATCGCCGCACTTTAGTCACATTACCAACGCACCAGTTTGGGCTATTGTTGACTGGTTTTGACCATTTTCTCACTGGTGCAGAGTGGATCCATTGAGTGATATTTGAGGACTTCTTCAACCCACAAAAATGTTATGAAGCATGTTATTTGCTAAAGTAGTGCAATGAAAAAGTTGCTTGCTCAAATGATTCTTAAAAATCAAAATTTTTTAAAAATGAGGTTATCTAAATCCAGGCATTTTTTAATACAGTTTTGCTCTAAAACTTCATTTCTGTGGCGTTTTCTTTGTGCCACCAATTTAGGACTTCAGTGAAACTGATGTGAGCGCATATCTTTATGTAAACAAATAATAACTTGTGCTGTTCAGTCAGTTGTTAAAGCTCCATTATAGTGCACCTCCTTTGTATGGAATACCAACAGAGCCAAGAAGATGTAAAATTTCAGGTGTCTTTCATACTCAAAGTACATGGCTAACAACTACATTCACAAATGAATTTTATTTAATTTCCCTTTTGGAGCAATAAAATATCTTTGATTTTAATTGAATTTGAAAGTGTATGTAAATAAACCACATTGGCAGCCAATTAATTACAGGTGGATATTTCTTTCTTCATTTCAAGTTTTAAAGGATAAAATGAATCATTTCTAGTTAGGAATTTTTTTTTTTTTTTTTTTTTTTCTTTTGGTTTAAATT